GTAGATGTACTCCAGTTTTCTAATCCAGTCATCTACTGATGGGCACTTAGGCTGTTTCCAGATCTTAGCTATGGTGAATTGTGCTGAGCTTTATTTTTTATTAAAAGTAAGTAACTAATAGGTCTTACAATTTAAAATATGCCATTTTGAAAGTTTAAACAACTAAAGGGTAGGGCGTTCAGTACTGGTTTTGCCATAGATAGAATATGGTCTCAATTTATTTGGGGTTCCTATGACTATGATTATTATACAAAGAATAGCCAGGTAACTGATAGACTCTTTGGAGCCTGTTGTAAAAGTAAATTCTTAATTGATAAATAAATGATTGGGAATAGTCTGGAAAATAAAAACTGCAATAGCTGCAATTCTTTAACCCTTTTTTAAATCACTTCTTTTGATGTAATTATCTAGGTTTTTCCAAACAATATAATACTTCATTTGAATGTGGTGTAATTATACTTCCTGATTTATGACTGTTAACTAAACATTTAAATCATTTTTTGGTAATTTAAAAAAGAATACCGTTTCTGCTTTTTTATTCTAACTACAATCCAAAACTTCAGTAAATACAGTAGATTTTAATAAATACAATAATTTGCAAAATGGAAATTCACTGATTATTCTTACCCATCATCAGCATCTTCCTCTTCAATTCCATCATAAATATCGTCATCTGGGGGAGGTGGGAACATCCCTTCATTTGGGTTAAGAGGGAAAAAGCTTCTGTTAGTTTTGTAATTTGGTCATGTAATAGTCGCTTGAACTTTGATAATAAATATGCCTCATTTAACTGTACAAAACATAGTAGCTATTTAAGTAAATAGCTACTTAAATAAAAGTAGTAGCTATTTACATAAAAAATAATTTTACTCTCTCACTCTCACATAGATAGTAGGTACATAGTTCTGTGTATACAGAATTTTTAGAGATGAATATAATACAAATATGAGGGATAATAAAAGTTACTGTGCACTAGAGAGAAATGGATAGAATAAATATTAGAAAAAGAAATATTAAATAAAGAATAGAGTTAAATATTTATTGTTAAAAAGAGAGGGGAGAAGATGATAAGAAAAAGCAGGCTGGGTGGGGCGACCAGGCTGGCGGGGGTTGCCGTGAGGGGCAACTAGGCCAGCAGGGGCGGAGCAATTGGGTGCTACCAGGCCAGCATGGAGGGGGCAATTGGGGGTGACCAGGCCAGGAGGGAGGGGGCAGTTGGGGGCAACCAGGCCAGTAGAGGGGGGGCAGCTAGGGGTGATCAGGCAGGCAGGCAGGTGAGCGACTAAGAGCCAGCAGTCCTGGATTGTGAGAGGGATGTCCAATTGCTGGTTTTGGCCCGATCCCTGGGCCTGAACCAGCAGTTGGACATCCCCCGAGGGGTCCCAGATTGGAGAGGGTGCAGGCTGGGCTAAGGGGACCCCACCTCTGTGCACAAATTTCATGCACCGGGCCTCTATTTTACAATAGCCAAGTGTCCATCAGTAGATGTTCATTACAGCATTATTTACAATAGCCGAGTGTCCATCAGTAGATGAATGGATAAAATAGCTGTGGTATGTTTTAACAATGGAATACTACTTGGCTATAAAAAAGGACACCTTACCCTTTGCAACAGCATGGATGGACCTGGAGAGTATTGTGCTAAGTGAAATAAGCCAGTCAGAGAAAGGCAAATACCATATAATTTTACTCATATGTGGAATCTAATGAACAAAACAAACTAACAAACAAAACAGAAACAGACTCATAGATTGAAAACAGATTGACAGCTGTTAGATGGGAGAGGTCTGGGGCTGGGTGAAAAGGTGAAGGGATTAAGCAAAAAAAAAAAAGATCTCATAGACACAGACAATAGTATGGTGATTACCAGGGGAGGTAGAAGAGAGTAAAGAGGGGACAGATATATGGTGATGGAAGAGACTTGACTTGGAGTGGTGTACACATAGTACAGTGTACAGGTGATGTATTATAGAATTATATAGCTGAAACCTATGTAATTTTATTAATCAATGTCATGCCAATACATTTGATAAAAATTTTAGAAAACGTATAATGAACTTGAAATTTGACCTTTCGGATGAAAATGTTAGTTGCAAAGTTTTAGTAAAATTCCCTTATATTGTTGATAAGAAGTCAAGGGGTCTTTAGGAGTCACAGCTGAGGTGACCATATAAGTTATACAATCAAGGATACTTCTGGCCATGAAGGAGGATGCTCTAGTAATGATGCCTGTACCACTGGCACAATCAGCACTGCCCTGGGCACACTGAAAGTGGAGCCAACTTCTGACCCATAACGAGCATGGGAGAAAGAAGTGAATTGCTCAGGGTCACTCGGTGACCAGGGCTGAAATCCAGGCCACTGGTTTCAGTCCAGTGTTCATTCTACAACTTTAATATGCTCCTCATGAGGTGCAGACAAAGGAATTTCATCATTAATATACACAAAAATGTTGAAGACTTGGAGAAACTTCTGCTAAAAGTGTGTGGCTTACCTCCACTTCCACTCTGACTGTGGCTAGAAAAGAAACAGAGACAGATTAAATTCGCATATGAGTTACATAGTTATCAAGAAAAGAAATACTTGTATTGAGCAGTTATACCAAAGAGAAATAAGACTCCAGTTAAAAGTTCTTAGGATATGTGAAGAAGAAGAAAAATTGTTCTGTTTCATAAGAGATGAATAGTAACAGGGCCCATAGTAACAAAGCAAACTACAAAACAAATTTAATAAGAATCAAGTGAGTTTTGATACTACATAAAGAATTCAAAACAATGCTACTGTTTGCTCCTAACATTTTCTCATAAGGCAGTTTTCGAATTATACATTATTACATCATTCCATAGATGGATTTATATTAAAAAAGAGTATTATTCCATGGGGCATATAGAACTATTATTGCATTAAATCAATTCTCTTTCAACATCTTATAATCACAGCATTTTGCTCTTAGTACATAACATTACATCTTATTTTAAATAGGACAAGTTTTAAAAATTGAAATCTTACTCATGGGGCTTTATAAGTGTAGTCCCTGATTTTCTAAATACAGACTGCTTGTAACTCTTATTTATTTATATATCATTCTACATCCCTATATTTATTTTTTTGTTAATCCTTACTCAAAGATATTTTTTCTGCTGATTTTTAGAGAGAGGAAGGGAGGGTAAGAGACAGAGAGAGAGAGAAACATCGATGTGAGAGAGACACATGGATTGGTTGCCTCCTGCATGCCAACTGCAGCCGGGGATCAAGCCTGCAACTGAGATATGTGCCCTTGAATGGAATTGAATCTGTGACCTTTCAGTCCCCAGGCCTATGCTCTAACCACTGAGCACCAGTTAGGGTACTATAGCCCTGGTTTATCATCATCTGTTTCCTTGCCTGTGCTTGCCACTAAAATGTGAATTCTGTGACAGCAAAGGAAGTGCAAATTGTGAGACCTGGAACATCTAAGAATTCATCTGCTTCAATTCCCTCAATCTGTTGAAAAGAAATGGAAGCTCTGAGAAATTAAATGACTTGGCCAAACCTTTTCAATGAACTGAAGAGCTGAGATCAGAATCTCAGCATCCTGTGTTCCTGGAGAACGTCGTTCTGGCTGCACTCCCTGGACTGCCATGTTGGCCTTTGGCTAATCTACCACAACAGCTATCAGTCTGATATTATAACCAGACAGTATCATTACATACTCATATCTGCTTCCTCAACCTTAAAGGCAGATTAGAGAAATTGGTCTGATGCATATCTATGGTTAATGTAGAAATAAAAATGTCTTGCTAATGGAACTTTATAGAAAATCACTCTATAAATGTTTTACTATGTAAGCAAGGAATTAACTTTTGATGAAGTTTAAGTATCCTCTTACAACTATTTTCACACTCATATTCTCTGACACTTGCTTTTGAGCATAAAGCAGAGAGTTAGAATTATGTGAAGAGTTACAATCTGGTTGGCTGACACTCATGGCAGATATAGCCCATCTTGGAAATTCTGATACTCAACTCCCAAAGAACCAGGTTATCAGAGTCAGGAGCAAAGCTGCCACACATTATTTAATTCCTAGAGCAATTCTGTTTTTATTTTATTTTTATTTTTTTAAATATATTTTATTGATTTTTTACAGAGAGGAAAGGAGAGAGATAGAGAGTTAGAAACATTGATGAGAGAGAATGCCCTTGACCGGAATCGAACCTGGGACCTTTCAGTCCGCAGGCCGACGCTCTATCCACTGAGCCAAACCGGTTTCGGCTCTTTTTATTTATTTAGGGAGAGATAGAATCATCAATGAGAAACATCTATCTACTATACCCTGCACACCCGCTCCTGGAGATCAAGTCTGCAAGCCTGGCACGTGCCTTGATGGGGAATTTAACTGGCAATCTCCCTATGCTTGGGTTCATGCTCAACCAACTGAGCCACCCCGGCCCATGCCTAGAGCAATTCTTTAGCTTTCTCAAAACACTATTTAGAATACAAAACATTTAACAGATGAAAGAGAGGTAAGGAGAGGGAGAGTGTGAGAAAAGAGAAGGAAAGAGAAAAAGAACAAATGGAAGGAAAAAGATAGGGAAACATACATAGAAAAATTTTGCTATGTGATGGAGGATTGGAATTTGCATTTGTAATTTCCTTTCTTTCAATTTTCATATTTATTCCAGAAATTGTCTTAAATGAGAACAAAAAGAGAAGGACAGCTGTCAGTTCCTGTTCCTTTTAGCCTGTGTCTGCTCAGAGAGGTTGTAGTGTACAGTCAGCTCTCCTGGAGGGATCAGGAAAGAGTAAAGAGTGCAAGGGACCAGGAGGCACTGGAGGAGGGAGGAGAGGAGGGGGCTGTCTCCTATTCTTGCCAGGACAAGCTGCCGGCTAGGCTATCGTCAGCATCTTTTCTTGTTCTAGGGACAAAGCATGTTCTGTTATGAGATCCCTGCCAGCAGCAGCTGTAGTTTCAAAAACAAAACTTGTGTAGAAATTATGTCTCTTCTTTCATTTTCTTATTAAGCATGCATGAGAGGAATGGAGGCTTGGAAATATTGTGGTTCTATACTTGCTTAACATGGAGCATTAAAACCATACCTCCAGTTCCATTTTATTACACAGAAGGTTCTCTGCTACATGTCTACTAACTGGAGTGTGTCTTTAGAGTTGTGGGATGTAGGGACTTGATGAGATGGAGAAGGTAGTGTGTTTGGGAATTAGTCACCTAGTATGGTTAAAGAATGCTCAATTTAAAAAATACCCTTCTTTTTTGTGGATTATTTTTTCTTGAGTATGTGCATCACTGTACACATGTATTTATTAATATGATGCGGTTCTTCAGCCCCAAAACAAGAGAAATGTGATTTTGAAAAAATAACTAAAAGATAAATATACTATAACATGCTAATATAGGTAGAAGATGTTTGTCCAAAAATTCTGTAAATCTCAGTCTGTGACTATGTAGAACTTTAACTGACCTTGAAACTGACATTTACTGACTCCCAAACTAGGTTAATGGGTTTCTGATGGCTAAAGCCAATTCATGATCTGTAAACACCAGTGCGCACGTTGCATGTTTTGATGTATGTTGCATAAGTTATGGCCATAACATGGTAAGAAGGCAGTGCAGGCTATAATTCATTTTAGATCAAACTGCCAGAAAGAAACACAACAAATTTCATTAACACCAAGAGGGGAAGACCACAAGAGGGAAGTTCAATTCTTCATGTGTCTTGAACGTATGTTACTATTTTTGATAGTTTTAATTCTTTTTAATGGTTGGTGATCAAAACATTTTTTTCTTTGAAATCTGAGTGATGAAGAAAGCACACATTTTTACCAGAGAGAAGATCTAGCACAGATCACGTGCTTGGGGACCACAGTGGCGGATTCCCAATGCCACAATGTGGGCCTAGGAAAACGAGGGTTTGTTGCTGGGGTGGACATTGTCCTTCTTTCACTTCAACTTGAGGAGATTATGATTTTACCAGGAAGGGGAGACACTGGAGGAAAGAAGGAATGAAAGGAGAGGGGGAATGGAAGAGCAAGATGGAGAAGAATGGACGAGGAAGATCAGAGCTAGGGAAAAGAGACACAGGAGGAGGCACGGAAAAAGGAAACGGAAGCCTGAGAGGGGAAAGAAGAAAAGAAAAGGGACATGGGAAGAGTTGCCTCCTCTCTCCTCTTGGCTCCTCCATGTCTTGTTCAGTTCCTCTGCTGTGGGAAGGTGTTCCCAGGATTTTGTGGGGGAACTTCATCCTAATCTGGTGGAATGAATGGGCAATGGAAAGTTGGCCCCTTAGTTGATACACAGGGATCATAGGGAATGGAGTTTTTACTTTTGTACTTTCAAATATATTTTTATTGATTTCAGAGAGGAAAGGAGAGAGAGAAATAGAAACATCAATGATGAGAAAGAATCATTGACTGGCTTCTACATGCTCCCTACTGGGGACTGAACCCACAACCCGGGTACATATCCTGACCTGGAATTGAACCATGACCTCCTGGTTCATAGGCTGATGCTCAACCACTGAGCCACACCAACCGGGCTACTTTTGTACTTTTAAAGAGTGAAGTAGAGTTATAATAAAAAGCATTCACTTATTTTCCGTTATATGTTCAAATAAGAACAACAACTATGTTTAGGCTCAAAGATTTCAGAATAAAAATTTTATATTTCTTAGAACTAAGTGTTATATTTCATGCCTTCTAGTTTACAAAATCATATTTATTTTAGGCAACATATACCTAAGGTCAAATGAATATTATAGAACAGCATGTTGGAACAGCGACCTATTTGTCAAGATCAGACAAATGGCTCATTATTTTTCAAGGAGTATTTGATACATATAACCAAAGAGTAAAACAAAACCATCTGGAGTTTCAAATGGCCTTGCACCCATATTGAACTTACTGTACACGGTCATTCAGTTCAGTGGTAGAGAGCAGTAGGAAACATGGAAGGTAAAATACAGAAGGGCCTTAAAATCCATAATCCCTGGCGAGGAGACAGCCTGAGCTGTGTAGCTTTGCACATACCTACTAGCCTCATCTTGCTCTGCCACATCATCATACACTTCTTGGTCATCTTCCGTGGGTCTCGATGAAAGAGGACCCAGAGAGTTCTTCTTTCGCCTCAAAGAATCGTAGTCGATCTGCACAGCAGTGGTTTTAATGTAGCCATCTACCGAAAGGGGAATGATGTATGTTTAGGCGACTGCAGCTTAAATAGCTTAAAGTTATGAATAAAATATCAACTGCACATTTGCTCTTTAAAGTGGCCCCTGGTTTCTTTGCTTGCAATTCTGATTCATAGACTTCCCATGTAGACACATGTTTTACTGTACCTTGTCCAAGTTTTATGCTGCTGTGGTTTGGAGTAAGCCTAGAGTCTGTTTTCAACATTCCAAAGTGATTCACATGACTCTCCCCCCCCCCCACCCCCTTTTAACATCACTGAGGAGCCTAATGCTCTCTTTTCCTCCCTGGACTCATAGAAACATTTCCATTGTTCCCACTGAAAGATAACACAGACGACGTGAAGATGGAACTACCAGTACTCCTGTCATTTTAAATCTTCCTATCCTTGTCCACCCAGAACAAAACTCCTAACTCAATGGCTATGAGTAGTTCTGGAAACATTTGTGCATTTCTCATTTTTGGCTCAAAAGAGGACAATCTAAAGTCATAGGACAATGTGCACTCACATGACCCCCTGGTGGTTCTGCCCAACCACTTCCCCTCGGGGTTGTCCGTGATGCGAATGATTTCAATAGGCTCGCCTTGCTTGAAGCTCAGCTCATTCTTGCCCCCTTTGACATCACAGCAAGCTCTGGCTTGATGGATGACTTCAATGGGGCCGGTTAGCTGCAAAGAGGAAAGGGAAACAATCACGACAGGCGTCTTTGCTATTCAGAGAATCTTTAAGGAATGCAGTTTGAAAGCCAGTATGTTCACAGCTTGCCAACCTGCCTGTTTCCAAGAGCTACAAGTTTAAACTAGAAATGGAGGGGGAATGTCATTCCTGGGATGCTCTTATAGGAGCAGTGAGGGGAAATTCCCAGGGGTCAGGCAGGACCAGCGAAGAACAGGGGCATGTGCTTGGGGTCCCGGAGAGAGTGGAGGTCTGTGGACCTTAGCAGCCTGCGAAGGGCTTGCAAAGGAAGCCCCTGATAACCGAATACCACTTATGTACGACAACCCACTCTGGGTGCTCTGTGGTTTTATGGGATATTCGGGTAGTCTGCCTGGTACGGGAAGGTTTCTGCTCACACTGCATTGTGAAGTTATCCCGATGGTTCTAGAAGGCCTAGAACAGCTAAGGGAGGGGTAGGTGATGGTGGTGGTGTGTACTCGTGGGAAAAGCAATTTCATTCATTCCTTTTTTCCCCTAAGTTTGTGATATTGTCTGTGTATGAACATGGAGTAGACATTACCTGCCAGAAACAAAATAACATTTTAGAAATAGCTTTGTAAATAAAAAACCCCAGCAAACAAATGTTGTGAGGTTTTGAAAATTAATATCCTAATTAGTACAGTGGTTTCTTGACATCAGAGGAATCATCTAGTTTAGACCACAAATCCTAAAGATCTAATTTTCTAATCTTAAATTGCTATCTTCTAAAACAGAATTTCTTGGATCTTTTGATATGCAAATATGCATTGTGACTTTTGCCTTATTTTATTGAACTTATGATGCTATGAATTGTGAGACAAATAATTATGTACCCCTGAAAAAGAAATAAAACAGCTTAACTTAAATTATGATGTGCCACTAATGTTAAGATGCATCCTAACTTCAGAATTTCAAAATGCAAAATATTTTATGTCTTAGAATTAAGGAAATATGGTATTATGGAGCCGTTCTTACAGTTATTTAATTTATTTATTTTTGACAGCCATTAAGATTTTGGGAGGAATACAGCTTGTGAAGCCCTAGCCTTGAGAAACATTTGAGTTCATATTTAGTGGTATGATTCCCACACACTATATTTTTCTTACTAAAAATGTTATTTGGATGAATGAGTGAAGCAATGTAAAATTGATTTCTCCAAAAGAAACAGGAAAAACTTCACATAATTCCTTCAAAACTGTAAACTTTCTCTTTGTGTGTTGGGAAGACTTTCATTTAAGAAATTAATTTTTCATATATTCCACTTGAAAAATATAAATGTTGGAGCCATACATTCTGGAAGAGTAAAACGTTTTACTACTCACATTGTAATCCTAATTTTACTTACCTATAGTAAGGTTTTTAAAAATTTAATGAGAACTTATAATAGATACAGTGCTTTATGTGCACTAATTTATTTAATTCCCCAACAAACATGGACAGCTGGAATTTAAATCTACATCTCCTCAACTAACTAAGCTTTACATTTTCCCTGCACCATGTTGTCGAAGTTTAGTTTTAATATAATAAATATACTGAGAAGTTATATATGAATAAAATTTTTATAACTCAAACTATGTAGTAACTATTTTGGGGGAATTCAATGTTTATAGAAAACTATATGAATCCTTTATAAAGTAAAGAATAATTTTGTAACTCACCCTAAAATATAGCTGACGTACCAGACCCACACCAGATGGGCCATGGCATCCAAGATGGCGTAGCCAAGAGAAGAGAGCAGGCAATATAGTGTTAGTGGTAGTAATAGGTGTCACACATCAGAATCAGAGATCAGAGGAGACAGAGGTCAGACATGCAGGTAGATGAAGAGGGCTGAGAAACAGCAGGTATCAGAAGTCAGTGTGTACATATGCTTAAAACCAGGGCAGGTCTAGACATTGGCAGCTAGAGTAGCTCATAGGAACTTTATTCTAAGACAAGGTCTCCAGATGTCTTCATCTAGAGACACTTGTGTCCCTTGCACCACTATAATACATACCACAGAGATGTGTGTGGTCCCAAGCTCATAGCATAAGTAGGTTAACATGGAGTGTGTAAGGAGGAGAGCCACAATGGGTTTGAGTAACTGAGTATTCATTCACTCAGTCAACAGATTTCCTGGGTGCCCACTAAGTAAAAGCCACCATATTTTATTTGAATTTTGTCATATTACATGGGACAGGGAGCATATTGGACAAAAACAAGTCTGTTGTGAGGATAGTTACTCCTTAGAAAACAGCTAATTCCCCAGCCTTGTAAGGTTTCAAGACAGGTGCACCTGTCAGCAAGCACACTCTTACTTTAAACTTCTTCTTTATCTCTTGTTCTTTCTTTTCTCTCTCCTTCTGTTCCTTTTTCTCCTGCTCCAATCTCTTCTTTTCCTCCTTTTCCCTTTTCTTCTCTCGTTCTTTGGATGCTTCTCTGTGGATAAACATTGTTAGGCTGTTTCAACAGCTGCAGGCATTGATGTGATAAGGCTCACTATCCAGAGGGCTTTCTATCCACACAGAAGATAGTATCTGAAGTCACACGAAGGTAAAAAGCCAAGGGGGATGGGGAGGGGGTCAACATTCCTGGATGTGTGATTGTTCTTAAAGCCCGCAGGAGGCACACAGAGAGGACTCCTTTTTTTCCCTACAGCTTGTGCAACAAGGGAAGAGACTGTTTCTAAAGGTGCTCTTACTCCTTGTCGGAATGTCTCTCCTCTCGCCCTCCCTTTCTCTTGTCCATGCACTCACAGGTACAAGAGCACACACATGGGGTCTATCTAGACTGGCAAGATTCTGGTCTCTCTTCCCGCCTATGTGGCTCAATGGTTGAGCATCGACCTATGAACCAGGAGGTCACAGCTTGATTACTGGTCAGGGGACATGCCTGGGTTGCAGGCTTGATCCCCAGTAGGGGGCATGCAGGAAGCAGCAGATAAATGATTCTCATCATTGATGTTTCTCTCTCTCCCATCCCTCTCTTCATCAATAAAATTATATTAAAAAATATTCTAGTCTCTCATGCAACAGCATTTTAACAGAGTTCTCTGTGAAATCTTCAGACAATAAAGACTCTTTAGTCCTTTGTATTAAAATAAAGGTTACCATTATATGTCAGTCATTTGAATAAAAAAGCTTTCCCCACCTAGTGCTGAATATCCATCCATTCTCCCACCTACAAATCATTCTATTCATCTTAGAAGAAAAATATCATGGTAAAAAATGCAACTCATACATGTCTTCATATGTTTCTCCATCACTTTCTTCCTGTCAAGAAAACATGAGTAATAATTAAGCTTAGTTATTAAAAAGGGGAGCATACACACATTTTCACAGATGAAGCACTTAGCAAAACAAACATAAATTTAAGTGTATGTATATTTGACTTATTTAAAATATTTATTTTCCTTTTTAGAGATAAACCATGAAAGTAAACCCCAGAAGAATTCATTTTATCTCTATGTAATTCAGATGTGTAGCCAGACTTAAGTTTATGTTAAGAATTCCTGTGAGTTGCTGAAACCGGTTTGGCTCAGTGGATAGAGCGTCAGCCTGCGGACTCAAGGGTCCCAGGTTCGATTCGGTCAAGGGCATGTACCTGGGTTGCAGGCACATCGCCAGTGGGAGATATACAGGAGGCAGCTGATCGATGTTTCTCTCTCATTGATGTTTCTAACTCTCTATCTCTCTCCCTTCCTCTCTGTAAAAAATCAATGAAATATATTTTTTAAAAAAAGAATTCCTATGAGTCAGAGTAACAATTGGTACTTAATGTCTCAAGCATTTTAGATGAACTAAGATCATAAATGGGAAAAATATCTTTACTCGTAAAAATTCTCTATCTCTCTCCCTTCCTCTCTGTAAAAAATCAATAAAATATATTTTAAAAAAATTTTCATTTGTTAGTTTTTACTAATAAAAAATGAATCGCAATGATTATTAAATATTCTAGTTCCAGCAATATAATATGAGAAGGAAAAAAACTGACCTCATCTAGATTTCCAGCACCTAAAGGGGTTAAAAAAAGAATGAAATTTAACATACTGTAATTAAGAAGCACTTTAATACAGGATTATTAGATGTAATATAATATTCCAGATAGTTTATAATCTAACAAAACTTACTAGTATGTTTTATCAAAGACATAGAAGTACAAAATAGAATATGTGGTTTAGATCCTTATTATGGCTTTTTGATACTTGTCATTTAATTATAAAATCATTTCATTGGCTTTCATAAGATAATGAAGACACCCTACATTCTCTTTATGAAAGGCACGCACATTTACTATGGGGCATCTCTGGAATAAAGGTATTATCAGAAACTCACAACTAGTTTTCCCTTTTTGACTTACTTGTTCCCAGTGATTTGCTTTCATTATCAAACAAATCAAGTTAATTAGATTTTTTTAAACAAGATAATTTTCCCCCTAGAGATAGGACTTCTTCAATAAAACTTATAAAGCTTAAATTATAAGGTAAAAATTAATAATTTTTATTGTATTAACATTTAATATGTTCAGTGAAGGACAGCCTGGGCTAGGTTAATAGACAATGAACAGAATGAGAGAAGGAAGGTATTTGCAATCTCTGCAACTCACATGGGATTAATATCTGGAATACAAGAAATTCCTCCTACATGTCAACCAGAAAAGGACAACAACCCCCCCAAAAATTGGTCAAAGGATATAAACTGGCAACTTCCAGAAGAGGAAACACAAAGGCTAATGAACAAGTGAAGTACTCAGATCAACAGTAAGCAGAGGTAGGAAAATGAGGTATCATTTTAAACATGTAAGACTGGAAGCAATTGGAAAGCTGAATAATACCATGTGCTGGTGAAAGGTAGGCATCTTGGAACCTCCCTGCCCTGCTGATGGGAGTGTTCACAGGTGCCGAGCTTCTGGAGAGCCCTCGGCTTCCACTGAGTCAAAACAAACACACCACAGCTTCGGAGCAGCCATGCCACTGCTGGGTAAGTCTATCTCCATAAAGAATCTCCCAGAGGTCCAAATGGCGGCAGGGAGGTGCACAGAATTATTATTTGTTGTACTAGTGAGTTGGAATAAAATGTAAAATGTGAATGCAGCCGAAACTGGTTTGGCTCAGTGGATAGAGCGTCGGCCTGCGGACTGGAGGGTCCCGGGTTTGATTCCGGTCAAGGGCATGTACCTGGGTTGTGGGCACATCCCCAGTGGGAGATGTGCAGGAGGCAACTGATCGATGTTTCTCTCTCTCATCGATGTTTCTGGCTCTCTGTCTCTCTCCCTTCTCTGTGACAAAAATCAATAAAATATATTAAAAAAAAAAATAAAGGGTGTTCTATATATATGAATGCATAGGATGCATACCATAGAGTACTTAACATGCATACCATGGGGCACATACATGGAGAATGTATGCAGTAGTTAACACCAATGAATTAAATATAGTTCATATAGCAGCATGGACGGGTCTTCCAAAACACATGATGTTGAGTGAAAACAAAAGAGATCAAAGTGAGCTCTAACATAGTATTCATGTAAATTGAAATATATATACACATACAACAGAATGCAAAGAATATATACAGACACATACACATTAAATACATTTAGACTATTTGCCTCTGGTAAGGGGAAGAGAGGAGAGAGCATGGTCATGGTAATAAAATGAATAAATCAATAAAAACAGAGAAGGGACTTGCATGGATCATTGATGATGATGACGCCCCATTAAGAACCCTATGAGAAGGATTAACTTAAACTTCTGTAATATGCAGTAACAGAAGGTTAAATAAAACTCCTTTTTGCCCCTTACCATCAAAGTGCATGGCACCATCTTGATTGTCTTCATTGACGGGGCTTCTGGAAACAACAAAGAAGAAAAAGTGAAAATAGAACCAGTCTATGCTCACCTTACAGTAAAAAATAAGAAAAATAAAAATTATTCTCTTTTAATTCTTTTCTCTTTAATGTCTGCTCTGATGAAAAATGCCAGAAGTCACTAGAATAGGCTTAGCCCTATATGTATGCTGCAGCTGCTGCCAAGAAATGGAACATTGGGAGCCTGAGCACAGAACTGTCCACATATGTGTGAGCACATACAGTGAGTCCATTGCTTCAGGGCAGCAACAGGATTTTTGTTTTGTTAAAACAGCACTATGTCAATCATTCAATTCTGGGATTCTGAAGGCATTTGCTTGGTTTATGGTTATAGAAACCCAGGAGAAACCAAAGGACTTGTATGCATGCATATAAGCCTAACCAATGGACACAGACAACAGGGGGGTGAGGGCATGAGTGGGGGACGAATGGGGGGATAAGGACACATATGTAATACCTTAATCAATAAAGAAATTAAAAGTCAATAAATAAATAAATAAAAGTAAAAAAAAAAGAAAAAAACCCCCAGAAGATTTAGTTCTAATCTTTTTAAAAAAATATTTAAATGTATTTTTTATTGCTTAAAGTATTACAAAGAGTATTACATATGTCTCCTTTTTTTCTCCCCTTGACCTTCCCCTGGCCTCCCCACCCCCCAGTGTCTTGTGTCCATTGGTTATGCTTATATGCATGCGTACAAGTCCTTTGGTTGATCTCTTAATCCCCCTCCCCCTTTAAATGTATTTTTATTGATTTCAGAGAGAAAGGGAGAGAGAGAGAGAGAGAGAGAGAGAGAGAGAGAGAGAAACACCAATGATGGGAATTGGGAATCACAGATCAGTTGTCTCCTACACGCCCCCTATTGGGCATCGAGCCTGCAACCCCGGCACGTGTCCTTGACCAGAACCAAACCTGGGACTCTTCAGTCAGCAGGTGGTTGCTCCATCCACTGAGTCAAATCAGCTAGGGCTAGTCCTAATCTTTGACTCCTTTCTCTTTTCCAAACTTACTCCCCTCATTTGTGGCTTGGACTCCAAGGTGCTTCATTTCAAACCACTTCACTCCAACTGCTCTACACAGTTATTAATGCCTGGGCTGGCAAATCCCTAATTATTTATGGAACATCTAAATTTTCTATTTTTATTCTCCAGTTGATTAGCATAGCTTGAGAAAATCGCCACTTTATTGATTCTGGATATTACAAATAATTGACATTTGATCTCGACTGTACCCTCTGTACTATTCTATAATCTAATTACCCTTTCTTTCTAGTCAACCCTCTCTTGCATCTAGGTCAATGGCAATTCACCACTTTCCTCTCCTTCTCTCCTAAAATCAGGTGACCTTGTTTCTTACTTCACTGATAAAATAGCAGCTCTTGGGTAGGAACTCTCTTAAGAAAATACATTCTGTAACCCACCCCCCAAAACACAAAACAAAACAAAACAAATGTCTCTCTCACACTGATGAAGTCAGGTGAGCCAATGGCAGTGCATGACTAATGCATCAACTCTCCGATCCGGAAGAATTGAAAGCATTTGTAATGAACAAAAAGGTTCTAATAGCAAATTCTTACTTTTCCTCCTGTTAGAGCC